GCCGAGACTGAGAATATGCATCAGAGTCTCGGCAGGAAAACGCCAGGCCTCACGGAAGCCCAGGAGAGAGGAGGAGTAAAGTCAGAAATGAAACTGCTAGGCCCGGCCTTTGTCGGCTCGGTGATAACCTTCAAAGGGAAGAGGAGGTCAGAAGAAAGATTGCCAAGGGTAGAAAAGCAGGTGGAGGGGCGGGAGGCACAATCAAGAATGGGAACGACAGCAGTTACCATTATGTTACATGTAGTGTGTACACAGTGGGCACTTGCTACCTGCCAGACATACATTCCAGTTCATTTAAATTAATCCTCATCATCGTCCTAGCGCGGCCGGCAGCGTGTCAGTCTCATCAATTAATCCTCAAAAAAGGCTTGCTAGGTAGGCATCAGCATGCCCATTTCACAGATGAGGAAACTAGGGAGTGGAAGCAGCCTGCAAGGACTTGCTAAAGATGGAAATGGATGGCGTTGCCAGGGGTAACCAGAGGTAAAGGAACACTCCAGTCCACACTTGGTTCCTTTTTCACTCCGCCCTTACACGCAGTTCCAGGCCTCTCTCCCACAGTGTCTCCCTGCCACGAAGAAGACAGAACCCAGACAGGGCCTGGGCTGTCAGGGCTGACTGGGAGACCCCTGGCTCTGGACACAGGAGCCAGACATAGACCAGGGCGTGGTTACCCAGGTGACCTTGGGCAAGTGCATTCTGCTTTTGGAGTCTCAGCGTCTCCGTCTATAAAATGGCACAGATGTAGCTCGAGGTCCCTCGCTGCCCCCTGTATTTCCCACGTCTGTTACTGTCTGTACCCTCAGCTTGGCCACCTGAGGCCTTGCTGGTTCTGGGGGATCTGTCCCTCCCGGGGTCCAGCCATCCAGAGCCCACACACCAACCACCTCCTTGACAGGTTCCCACACCCTGGACACCCATCCACCTGCCCTAGTCACTCCAGAGCCAGGTGCCAGATAACCAGAGACAGCCCCTGTGCCCCAAAGCCCCCCGAAATTCCTCACAGTAGCCAGTGCTGAGCCTGCTCACCCCGCCTTGCTATTCCAGCAGAAATCCCAATAAAAGCCCTTGCCCACTCCACCCCCCACTGCTCTGTGGTTTTCCCTGTGCCCCGCCCCCACCCAGTGAGTCCCTCCCCTGAGAACTGTAAGTAACAAACTGCCTTTTCAATGGCAATTGGCTCCCCATACACTGCCCTGACCACACCTCGAATGTTCTACCAGTGCACCCGTAACAACACCCCTTCCTTTATCCATCCCTTTCCCACACTTCTCTGTACCAGGCACTGTCCCAAGTGCTTTAGAAACATCCCATGTCATCCCCGCAGCAGCCCAACGAGATAGGCACTGTCGGCATCCCTACGTTAGACATGGGGTAACCGAAGCACAGAATAGTTAAGTCCCCGGCCCAGGGACACACAGCTAGGAAGTGCTGAGCTGGGATTCCAACCCAGGCACTCAGGCTCCAGAATCCTCCCTTTTCATATTCTGCTACCTCACTCTCCAAATCTGGCCACATCTGAACTAATAACCGAGGGGGAATTAAGCTGAGCTCCCACATTCCTCCTGTGTGAGGCGTGCGGTTTGTCCGTCACCCTCCTGCTGTGGCACCCGCAGTGCGGCTCTGGTCTGAGAGTGCTGTTTCCCGTTCCTGCGCCTCGGCACCGGCCGGGCTCGCTGCTCTCCGCTGCTCCAAGTCCAAGTCCAGAGGCGCGCACCTCTGCAGAACCAGACCCGCAGGGCCTTTTCCCTGTACACACCTCTGCCCACCTTGGCCCAGGACACGGATTCCCAAATGTGCCCCTGAAATCTGTATTTCAGAGGAACTCACCCCAAGCGCAGGAGGTGGTTACCGTGGCCAGGAACAGAGCATAGAGCCGCAT